GATCTTTGTTTGATCCACAAAACTGGCGCATGAAAATAAGAGTTTTTCCTCACCACCTCTAAATGTTTGGTTCCAGGTAGCGGTGCAACAAATCACGTGGTACCGTTCTAGATCAACCTACTGGCTGCTTATAGAGGGGTCCATAAAGGCGTATTGATTGATGGCTCTGTATGGCCTGAACTGAAAATGATACACGCAGACGTTTTCTGAGCGACGAAGGTGCAGCTTTTACACTCCTCTTTCGTTTCGAAAATAGACGAGCATGCGAGCAAAGCGAGCGCGCTAGAGAGAGCCCCTTGCTCTAATGGTCAATAAATCCCCCGCGGCTTTTATTTTCATACGCGAAATCGACGATCTCCAAGGAGAAAATAGATCGACGATCTCTAATGAAAAAGTAGAGGGTCTGTGAACAGGCTACGAAGGTGCTTGCTATATTTTAGTGAACTCTTTACAAGAGGTCTCAGGTGATTATGCTAACGTCGTGAAAAGTCTACTTTAGGGAAGGAGGAGGAGATGGGTGGGTTGGTTGGCATTGGGTTCTGCATTAGGATCAACCCTACACATACAACAATATATTCATGTCTTTACCACTACATTTAGAGCTAGCAGACTTTGTTTGATCCACAAAATTGGCGCAGAAAATAAAAGTTTTTCCTCACCACCGCTAAATGTTTGGCCTCCGGGTGGCGGAGAACAAATCACGTTGTACCGTTCCAGAACAGCCTACTGGCCATGCTGGCTGCTCATTTAAAAGGGGTTCGTAAAGGCACATTAATTGATGACTCTGTGTGGGCTGAAGAAAATTATATACGCAGACGTTTTCAGAGCGACGAAGGAGCTGCCTTTACACTTCTTTTTCTTTTCGAAAATGGCCACGGACTTCTCTCCTCGCTCCTCGCCGCTAGGCGGTCGTTTTTGCCTGAAAGATACCACCACGAAGGAGTTCTAGCACACAAGTCACTGCAGGTGCAGGCCTAGGAAAAGGGTGGTATTCTCCATCTGAAATTTTAAATCGAAATGAAAGGCTATTTTCAGCCTTTTCTCTCTTTTCTCCGCAACGTATTTGGTTAAAAGATAGTAAGTAAAATGGCTGAGGCATTTTAAAGCATTTTTTAATTTACGCGACGGATTTTGACGTTATGAAAAAGAACTTGTCAGTGAATTGGTTTATATTCTAGCCTGCGAACAAGTGCCGGGGGTAGTGGCGGACAGAGCCAGGTGACTATTCCTTTTTTCAGGCGGGAGCTAGCAGTACGTGCATTCTGGTCTAACCCCATACTTTAAGGGCCTCTGTTCGGGGGGCGAGGGATCAGATAATGTACAATTCGTCAACAGCAGGTTGAAGTCTCGCCAGAAGATGCCCTTGCTGCAGAGGAGCAGAGCAATACTACTTTCAGTAATTTAAACATGTTAAATACTTGTATTTTGCTCATCAAATGTGTCCACTGTCCATCGTCGACTTGTGGTTTTTCAGGAATGTTCTTTTGCGAAGCATTGGCCAATTTTCTTTAAACAGTTTTACTCGTTTCCATTTCCCTGCTCTACCTTCATGTTGCATATGGCGTACGTGTGTACCTAAATCCCTCAATTTATACTGAGGCGATCGATAAAGAAGTCTATACGCCAAGCAGGGTTAAGATTAGTTTATTACAAGCAAGGGCTCAGAAGGCTAAGTGCAAATAAAAGAAAACTAGTGTGAAAAGTTTTGCAGACTCGGCTTACTCTATTTGTTTTCTTTCTCTATTTGAGTTTCGGCTGGTGACATCCTAAAATCAAGTTTAGTTCCACATGTTTTGGGAATATAAAATATAAAACTAAAACAAACAGCGTTAATTGTCATTATATTTTTTCTTGTACACTCGTGCGATGATTTATCCTTGTCTGTACAGTTGCGTGACCAGACTCAAATTACACACGGGCTTTCATCACGCATCACAGCGTTTAGTCCGAGGCTAAACGACGGAAGATCTCAGTAAACTGCGGCCACTTGCAGTTGAAACGACTGTGGTAAGTAATTCTTAGAGATCTCAAATCCCATTTAGAGCTAGCAGAGCTAGCACGCCGTTTCTAGCGACTTTATTTTAGGTGCAGAAACTCGAGGTCAATATTTACACTCAATGAGAACTTAACAGCAGCTGACAGCGTTGTCTTTTTCAGCTACTTGCGTGCAATCAAATGCAGTGTTAATGTACTTAGTTCTTTTTTATAACCACCAAATTGAAAAGCGTTTTTCAAAAGATTTTAAGAGCTTCCCGTAATGTGCCCCTTGTAAAAGAAGCTAAGTTAACAAAAACTTTTGTGTGCCGACACTCGCGGCTAGCTTGTTTCAGCGTTCCAACGTGCGAAACTACCCTGCACGTTTCGGTGTCTCAGCGACGCACTTTTGTAATGCCGCCAAAAAATTTTTAACGCAAGAAACGGCAAAGGATGTGCTTTAAAATAGTGTTTGTTTCATGTTGAAATTCCATGTATCAATTGATTTTTTCGATGGTGGAGTTAGGTCAAATTTGCCATTTTTGAAAAGAGCCGAAATCGTGTTTCTTCTTGCGGCCAACACAGTCACATTTAAACAGCTTATCTAAAGATAATTGCTGAATTATAAAGTAAAAGTCTGTGTTTTCCTTGTGACTTGATTTCATTTAGAGATATCATCCCGTTTTTATGTACGAGCGCGAAGAAAATGCTTAATTTTCGCTAATTTCATACTCGAAAGAGCGCCGATTTGGCGTTTTTCAAACTTTGCCCGATTCAGGAAAAAATAAAAACCCGTTAGAAGTTTTAATGTGATTTTTGAAATAAGTGTACTATAGAGATTATGTGGGCAAAATATGAAGAAATTCAAAAATTCACGACTGTCAACCGATTCTCGAAAATTACAGACATTGGCTCTTAATTACTTCAGTAAAAATTGACGTATTTACGAAAAGCTTAGAGGTAACTGTTCACAACTTTTAGCACTTTTTGAGCACTATTTTGAGATTTTGAGCACTTTTTGAGCACTTTTTAGCCATTTTTGCCAGCACTTTTTTAGGATCTTACGAGCGCAATCGGGAAAGGCCTTGCAGAAGAGCCGGAACAATAGACTGGTAACAGGCGCTCTATTTTTTTCCTCCCCTCGTCTCTCGCGCTTCGCGCAAAATGCCGCGTTCGCCTCGCTTGGCTCATAAAGCGATGGTTATGCGGCTAGGTTTTTGACTAATCTTGTAATTTACAAAGCGTACGTTTCTTTTGTAAAAAGATAGTACCTACATTGACATGAACGTGTATAGAGGTTTGTAAAAATTGCACAATGTTTGTTAACGATTAACACTCAACGGTTACCCTGGACAGTGATAAAGTTCCATGTTGTTAAGGAAGCTAAGGAAGCTGTGCTGTACTTTGTGCAAGACTTTGATGTGAACTTTACTCGTGAAAGACAATACAAGCAGAAATTTGATGCTGATCACTCTTTGGACTCAAAGGGTTAATAGAGGCTTCACTGTATATTATTTCTCTTGAAAATCCGTTTTAGAATAGTATCCAGTAAACTAACCAATGAGAGAGGGAGATTTGGAGAAGGTTCAAAAATCAGATCACTCGTGCTAGTGAAATTACAGCAATGAACATTGCCGGAATATTACTGAAAATCAGTAAAATTACTTGCATTTACATAATGTGTTATAGCAGTGCAACGATTTTTTTAACCTCATTCAAAAGCTTCACCACTTCGTAACAGCACTTCGCAGTGATCAAACTTGACCACAGGTAAACGCATCTTCTTTTCATTATTTTCTGCTGTTTAAGGTGGCTCGGTTATAACAAAAAAGGCTAATTGAACTACATCCTCTTATTTGGTAAGAACATATTTTATAAGATATAAGAATCGAGGCTGAAATTTGACAAATTTTAACAATATAGTCGAAGGAATCTCCACGTGTAAATCAGTTCAGTTGCAGCCTCGAATAGCGAACGCGACCACTTTTTGGAAGACGACCTTACAATTTTCCATTGTTTTTAACCTGCTGTAAGCGACCACGGCTTAAGGCATGGTCTCAGTGATCTCTATGGTCGTATACACTACTCAGAGAATGCGATGAAGTTTTAGTTACAACATGAAACTACACATATCGTAGCCTGCTTGGCACGCGTTTGGAAGGGAAAGGGAGTTTCAGGTCAGGCGCGAGAGAAACGCGCCTCGCGCGTCCCACCCTTTTCTCTCGCGCCCCCAACCCTATTTCCCTTCCCATTCAAACGTCTGCCACACAGGCTACATATATCGTAACAGTTAGAAACTCAAAATGTAACTGCGTTTGGTCCTTTTCTAGTAAGGCCCTCTCCTTTGAAAAAGATGTAATTTTATATGTTGAAAATTTGTAAATACAATACATGTGTGCGATTAGATGTTTTTTATAACATAACCGTGTAAAATTGTTTCTTTCTCTTAACGACAAACCTGGCCAGGGAAACGAAAAATCCGCGCACAATCTCTTTGTGTGAACCGATGTTATTTTATAGTCAATGTACTGGATTTAATGTTTGCCTCACCCATAGCGATATATCGCTAAGTATGTATATAACACAATGTTAACTAAACGTCAAAAGCGGTTTTTTATTAGGAACAGTAAACGGCGAGCTCAAAATCCTTCAAAAATCGCTCAAAAAACCGCTTCAAATTTGAGGCCAATAGACGACAATATACCACAGGTAAGGTAATTCAACGTTTAGTTAACACGGTTATGTGAACAACAGACAAACAGCAAATTGATTCAAACAATTCATTGCGAAACAAAGAAAACAAAAGGGTGAAAGCAACAAGGTGCTGAAGGTTGACTTGTTTGAACTAAAGAGGTCTATATAGCTTCTGAAATGTACTACTCCTTTTATAACCGAGGGTTATTCCCGAAGTGATGGCCGGTGTTTGGGGTAGGGGCTTTATTCAAGGGTTTATCGTAACATATTTACACTTAGTTTCGTGCCTTGGTCTTCTAAACGGTGTTGCAAATAATCATTTTGCTTTCTCTATGGCTATAGGAGACATGGCACAAGAGAGACATGCACTCTACTATCCTCCGGAAGTCCTTGAACTCAATTGGAATAATACTTCCAAGGAGAAAATCCAAGAGGCTTTCAAAATATGGGCTGGCACTTATGATAGGGTATGTTTTGAATTGCCAAAATTGTTTGGTAGAGAACAGCCGATATTTCGCCAGGCCACCTCTAGTTTTCCTGCAAAATGACGTCGGAGGAACGACTGCAGAAATGCAGTGCTGATGACGAGTCACTACCCGGCAGATCTGCGTAGTGCTTCTGATTGATTGAAGCAAATTTCCCTCCCGGCAAGACTAATCAGAAACAGTACCTAGCTCTTACAACATCATCAGCGAGTGTGAAATTTCTGCGCTATGCCACAGACGTCATTAGTGGTGGAGTCGCGAAATGGTTGCTGTTTCCTTAGGCTATGTTTTGGTCCGGCTGACACTTGTTACATGTGGCAGGTGTTGTTTGTTACTGTGAAAACTCCATCTTTGAAGGACAGTGATCGAGATGGGAACGTTTCAAGCCAAATCACATGTAATGTAGGGTTCATACGAAGAAAACTCAAGCCCTAGGGCAGTTACTAATTCCAAAAGTGCTTGAATAGGCAGTTTAATGCAACTGCCATGTGACTCTCATCAACTGAAAGAAAAATTTCAAGCTAGAGCGAAATAATTTTCAGTAATAAATTCGGAAGCATATCTAAGTTAGTGAAAAAGCAAATTTTCAGGCTAGTGCTATTCGATGGAGCAAATTAATCTAAGGGGAGGTCGGGCAGTGCAACAATTTCAAACAAATCGAATATTTCGAAAACAAAAAAATATTTTGGTAAAATTGTATGGAGGTGACAACAAAAACCTCGCCACCCAGTTAAAATTTCGTTTATTAAGTTAATTTTGATCAATTAGTCTTTCTTAAAAATGCAAACGTAGTATCGTCATGGTCTCTGGTAGTCTCCCTCGCAGCCGTTTTTGTCTCCTCACGCAGCGGGAAGTCTCTGGAATTATTTCAAAAATTTCTACCATTCATTTGAATATTATTTGACTTCTTATATGGCGATGTTCTCTATCCAAAAAACAAACACTAGAGCATTCTCCGAGAGTCTCTGCTTAATTTCCCAGAATCACTCACATTTTCCTCGTGAGCTTTGGTTGCAATAATATTCCCTGCGATATTCTGTCCTGATTAGCTGACCCTGGGTCCAAAGGGTGGGGAAAGCATTGTCTGGTTTAGGGTTAGGAACGCAAATTGTCTTTATTGGCATGGATGGGGAGAGATGGCTTGTTATGCAGGCTATTAATTGAGTTTTTGTGTCATAGAGTTTCACCCAGATCGTCTAGAAAGAAAAGTCACTTAACAAGCACATTCAGCCTGGTCAGTAAGGAGCTTTAACTGCGTTAAGGGTAGGACGAGGAGACTGAGATGGCTAAGGCTAAACTACACCCTCTTTTTTGGTAGAAATATATTTTTATATAAGAATCGAGGCTGATTGGTATTTATGTCACAGGATTTCACGCAGATTCAAAAGTTAATGCAGAATGAAAAACGCTTAACAAGCACATTCTGCCTGGTCGGTTAAAAGGTTTTTCATGCATGTTTATTCATTTTTTCTTTTTAGTGGGTTCTTGAGGGTTCCGCCCCTGGCACCCCTGGTTGTTACTCCCATTTATCATGTGGAGAAGCCTTCTTCAATGCGGCTAAGGACCTCTATGGCGAAAGCAAGAAAGACCTCAAAATATTGGATTGTGGCTGTGGGTCAGGACTGTCTGGTCAAGTTCTGAAGGACAAATATGGATATGATAACCTTACTGGGCTGGATGTGTCTGAAGATATGTTAGATATCGCTAGACAAAGAAAAATCTACAAGACTATTATCAGTGCCTTCGTAGATACCGACAGAATAAAAGAGATACAAGATGGTGAATATGACGCCGTTATCTCCTCTGGAGTGTTCCAAACTGGTCATATGAGAGCCAATGCTTTGGATGAAATCACTCGCTGGATTAAGCCAGGTAATTTGTCACTACTTTGACTTCTTGTGTGAGTTGTGTATCAAGAAATCGAGAGGTAAAAGTGAGATGACCTTTTTGGAAAAATATAATAAGCAAATGACTTCGCTTTTTTTTTCTTCAGTTCAGTGACTTCTATAGATCTTAAATCCCACGCTACTCAACGTCTAAACATGCCTTCACATAAAATGTAGGCTTATTTCTTGGAATTTTTTTTAAAAAGTTGACTTTAACTTCTTTTAGAATTGAAAGCCCTGCAAAGCAAGATGACGTCTAAGGGGTACCCCGCATACCGTGGTAAAACCGTTGAAATCCCTCGCTAATCAGCCCTGTATTTCCCGGTTATGAGGGTGCTCGGCTTTCCGCTAGTATAGCTGACTAAAAACTTGGGGCGGAAGATGGAATAATCATAAATTAGCATAAGAGTCAGTGAGGTTACTTTCACACTATGCCGGATAGTTGTTGCGCCGGCACGAAAACCATACCGGCTCCCTGGTGTCAGCAGATTTACTGCTTGAATTTGTTCCTTTCAGGTGGCATCATGTGCTTCACTTGTCCAGTGTTTGACGAAGAGGAAAGCGGTTACAAGGAGAAATGTGAGAGTCTGGAGAAGGAGGGAAAATGGACTCTGGTCTCCAACAAGGAAGCTGAGTACTATGGCGACAAAATTCCTGAAGGGCGCGGCTATAAAACCTGTCGAATGCTGGTCTACAAAAAATTATAAATACTCTTTTGCCAGTGGATGGTTTTGTTATCTTATCCTCGACCTTTCTACACTGGGTTTGGATTCTGTGCAGTCATGTTATTCTATAAACTAGCGAAATTAAGTAAGACTGAATTGAAGCAAACAGTTTTTGAATTGTAGCTCTTGAAAACTGTCGTTCGCTATACAAGATTTAACACTTATGTCCATTTATTTCGGTTAATATATAGTACACATTTTGTTCTTTTCATGATCAAATAGTTATATTGACAAAAGAAACTTTTAATGCTTCTAGCTTCGTACACGGAATAAAAAACTAAACGATATAGATGTTAATATTAAGTAGAGTCCATTACTTGTTCCTTGTTATTACAAGTTCGTGCTTAAATTCCTTGATATCTCTGGCCGAATTTTTGAAAACGTTACCGCCAAATATACCCCTTCCGTCAAACAGCTTTTTTTTGACCAAAACCTCACCTATCTCCCAAGTAGCCACCGATCTTTTTTTTTCTCTTCTCCTCCCTTCTTCCTCGCTCTTTCTTTTTCTCCTTTCCTTTTCCTTCGCTGGTGTGATTTTCGAGATTGTGGGGTCCAAAAAACTTGATTTTTGTTTGTTTTTCACTCAAATGGCTGCAAGGCTCGTTTTCAAAAAGCGAGACAGTATTTCGCGGGGTTTTATTTCCGCGATTTCAATAGGCAAATATGAAAAAAGGCATTAAATTTCGGGATTTCACGATCCTTACCAACTCCCTTCTGTGAATTTTGACATGTCACTGCGCCCAGACGTCAAGCACACGTAAGAATTAGGCCAATCGTGAGGCGCATAAGAAACCCGTAAGAAACCCACCTATCAGAAACGCTCACATATGTCCTTGCGACTCTGCAGGATATTAGAACGAGTTTTTGTGCACTAATTCGCAGACGGACTTTGCAGATGGTTTAGACGAGTGCGTGGGCCGGCTGCAACGCAGGCTAGCAGGAATGCCGATTTGAATTTGACACTAGTTACCGGAACGACTAACGCATTCAGTTTCCAAATAATCAATTCATTAATAGAATCTTGGGGGTACGTTTGACCTGCCTTAACTGTAAAGTGTCACAAATTCTTTGCCCTTGGGGTAATATTAATCAGTTGTATTAATAAGCGTCTCGTCAACTTGAATATAAAAAGGGGCGTAAATTCAACGGGAAAGGCTTTGAATCCCTTAATATTTCGCTTAAAATTATATTGCCTCATGTGGTTAAAATAAATGCGCTGATTTGGGTCTCCACTTTAAAATTACGTGACTTTTGTTTTCGACAATTATTCAAAATTCTGGAGCTTGCCTATCATATTGAAAATATAGGCCCGTAATGCGTACTTGAGTCTACGACGATGAAGTGTAACAAAATGATATTTTGAGGTGCTTTCAAGGAAAAAACTGAGAAGAATAAGGCATGCTATTCAGCTTCTCTTTCCTGTGTATTTTTTTGCCCAAAAAATTCTTGCAAGTTGCCCAAATTTTTACAAAACAGTCTAACAGAAACGAGGGCTATACGATGCAACAGGCATAGGCCATACTGGCATAAACAAACATTTGTGTGCAGTTTTCTGTATTTTCTCACTATTCAGTTTGCGGATTTTAATTTGTTTGAATGAAGACCCTTGCATGGACCAGTTATTAAAAATAGCTAAATGGTGAATCATGGCCGGCTGTGGGTGCAAAGCTTGCAACTGATCCTCTGCTTTTAAAATCTTCAGGTAGGTTGTTTTCGTGCGGAAAATTCACTTCTTCATCGTCAGCAGGTAAAAGAGCCTTAAGCCTAAAGTTTTTTTTTTAATGAAAATTTGTTGTTTTGCAACCTTATTGAAGCTTTTTTTAGTTCACTTAAGCTGAATTTTATGCCTGATGGAATTGTTCTTTGCTTGTCGCATCTCTTTCGCGAGCTTAAAGTGGCGTCTATGGTCTTTAAAGTGACCTCAGTCGGTAATTAAATCATATAGATCCAAATACATAACTGGAAAGAAATTTTTGCAATAATGTAACTATAACTTTGCTTGAAGGAAATCTTACATTACGCGTAGGTTTTTGACAGGTGTTATGCATGTTCAACTTGACAACACAAAGCAAAATTTATTTGTGCGAAACGATCAAATTTAGAAAAACTACAGTTACTTTGAAACCGATTTTGGGGAAGATTTTACTAGATAAAGAAAACTCTTTTTCTGCCCACATGTCAACGCCAAAACTTCTACATTGAGGATTTTGTTTATGTTTTAGTATCGAAGTATGACTGTACAAGTGTCACAAAATCAATCTAAGCGGTCCCTTCGGGGATTTTCTGTTTTACGTCGCCCTAACCATCTCTTACTTACAGGCGTGAAATATAGAAACGTCATCATTACCCAAGGATTCCATGCGGCCCCTTATCAAGCTAATCGAAATTTTTTTCTGGCGTACTGACTGTATATTTCAACTAAAAGTACGTTTCTATAAAACCAGACGATACCATTCAGTCAAAATTATGATAACCAATAACATCAATAATAGGTCAATAAAAATCAAAAGCAATTAATTGATTGATACTGAAAATCAACAAAAATCAAAGCCGCAGTCTTGAGTGATTTTCGATTTTCATTGATTTTTATTGAAAACTAAAATGTGCTTTCTTTTTGTTTTAAACACGTCACACAGCTTAGAAATAAACCCAATTAAGTTTTCATGGTCCGATCTACGATAAATTAAGAAATTTAAAAAGCAAAACAGAAACAACAGTACCAACAACAATTTAATTTATCTTCCTGTATTGACAACAGGCAAAAACCGTAACTGAAATGTTAAATAGATGCTTACGTGCGGTTCATAATGGTTACTGCTGAGCATGACGTTATACATGTCCTCGAGCCTGCCCTTAATTTTGTTTAGTACATTTGTCGAATTCTGAGCGGAATATATTAAAAAAAATCTTTTAAAAAAGAACTTTTGTCGAACATAAGGCCCGGTTCAGACGCCGCTCCACTCATGTGCCGAACCTAACTGAGTTTGGTTCGACTTTGGAGCGACATTGGCGCGACATCTGATTCAGACGGCGCACCGTGTGTCGAACCTAATCTTTATTTCATGTAGGGAGAAAGAAAAAGGCCTGGGTCCGATATCATATCTTCGCGCCATAATTCAACTTTCAAAGATGGTGGCTGTGAAGGAGAGGATAGCTCTGATTAGAGCTATTTCTCGGGGAAGCGAACGTAGGAGGATGTTTTCCGAAAGTGCGCAAATGCTTATTGCATTAAGAAGACGACGGATAGCTCTTCTTTTGTCCTTGGCAGGGATTTTGTTGCTCTCGCGTAAGCAGAATTTAGCCACGGAGATGGTTCATGTACGATCTTGCCGGCGTCTGCTCAGGAGCAACGGCTGGTGGGAGATGGTTTGGACAACATATACCGATGAACGATTCAAGAAAACTTTCAGAATTTCAAAGAATACATTCAGTTTCATTCTGAACCGGATTCGAAACGACTTGGAACGCCAGACAGTAAACGAAGACCCCATATCACCCGAATGTCGGCTAGGCATTTGCCTTTATAGGCTCGGAAGAGGTGATTATTACTACACCATAGCGGAAATGGCTGGATTGGGTGTTTCAACTGTACATGAGATTGTAACTCAGGTATGTCAATCGATCGTTGAAAACCTGTGGGAGGACTGTGTCAAGAAGCATATGCCATGCACTGAGGAGGACTTTAAGGATAAGATGAAGGAAATGAACGAAAGGTGGCAGTTTCCCTTCTGTTGGGCTGCAATTGATGGCTGCCACATACCTATTAAATGTCCACCAGGAGGAGCTGCATCGTGTAAAGAGTACCACAATTTCAAGAACTTCTATTCCGTTGTATTGATGGCTATGGTAGACTCAAAATATAGGTTTATTTGGGGCAGCTGCGGTTTCCCTGGCAACTCCCATGATGCTATCATTTTCCAGGCAACAGAACTCTGGGAAAAGCTAAACGAACACGATTTTATTCCAGACATTGCACATAAGCTTGCTGATGTGAACATTGGTCCACTCATTATTGGGGATTCAGCATTCCCATTTAAACCGTGGCTATTGAAGCCCTACACAAATGCAGTACTCACAGAGAAGCAGAGATACTTTAATTACAGGTTAAGTCGTGCTAGGATGGTCACAGAAGGAGCATATGGGCAACTTAAAGGAAGGTGGAGGGTGCTTTTGAGGAAAAACGAGAGTGAACCTTCTCAAGTCAAAACAACAACCCTTGCTTGCATGGTTTTGCATAACATCTGCATTGAAAAGGGTGATACCATCTGCAGCAAGCTAGATATTACCAGCGACCCACTTACAAATGCGAAGAGAGATAGTCGCACAGTAAGGGATGTATTAGAGATGACCTGTTGTAGAAAGCTACCAGACTCCAATTCCCAGGCAACTAAAATCAGGAGCACGCTAGCAGATATGTTTTGGAGGGAAAGAGAAGGTTCTGAATGAAAGTGAACGAGTTAAACCAAATATTTCTTGCAACATTTTTTGGAGTTTTGTAATGGGCCCATTTAGTTATTTCCACTACGTTTTGTAACAAGGAAGGCTTCTTTTATAATATTAGCCCACCCAAAGTACTGTAAACTGAGTGCTTCAATTTATAACAGATGAACTTTATCTCTTGAAAGAATGTAATGTTCAAAGGGGTTTTAAGTGACCCATGAAGTACATCATGTTTCACATTTCAACACCATAACAAAACAGTTGAATGCATTCTGCTATTTATACTCATGATAAAATTTCCCACCAAGTGTTTCTAATGAAGTGATAGTATCCATTATGAAGGGCCCATGATGACACAACTGTTGAGTTTAAGTCAGTAGCTTGCACTTGCATTGTACAATGTACTTTAAGTAGTAGTTAGCAGGTGTCAAGCCTTTAGGTAATACAACTTCTACAATATTAAGGATAAATTTGTTAACACAACTGTTATCGTATTTTAAGTGAACATCAAAATAAACAGTCTGTCTTTGCAGGTACAAAGC